TAGATTGCCTCGGAAACAGTGTCAGCATGAATGTTCCAGTAAAGCCAATCGACAGCTGGTCAAGAGGAATGGGCCGTCGTCTTCTGGTAGAAGCGACCTTCGAATCCCTTCACGCAACACTTCCACTCGAAATGGAAGTAAGCTCAACAATTAGTTCACGTTGCCAGGACTATCTCAAGATCCCCTCTTTCTAATAAAACTTTTCATGCCACCTCCTACTTCTTTGAGGTAGTGGTTTATGAGAAGCTTCTTAAAGTCGCCAACCCAATTTCGGAATTAAGTCTTTCTACCCTGGCAACTCACGGCAGGACACACTTCTCTTTGCTCACCATGTGCAACTGTAGGAAAGTAGATACGAAGAGAAACTTGGTTTAGATGAATCTTCTGAGATAACATTGTTAGGGGGGCCTTCATTTCTGATGAAAGCGCATGAAGAAGAGATTCGTTGGTCGATATCACCAGATGAGGACGGATGAATCTCGTACTGCAGCCGTTTGGCTTTTAGACGATATTCATGTTGACGCAGTCCACGAGACTTTCTCCCTCATTTCGGGTGAAAACGTGCTCAGCTTTCGTCCATCAAATGATGGAAACCATCAGAGCTGGGTGTCATTCTTGCAAAAGTGTCACGTTAACACTTAAGCAATAACACTATCCGGCTCTATCTTAATTCTTATGTAGACTCAGCACGCTTTCACCCAATACGAGGGAGGAAGTCTTGTGGACTGCGTCAACAATATCGTATAAAAGCCAAACTGCTGCAGTACAACGAGCTTCATCCATCCTCTTCTAGTGAGATCGACCAACTAATCTCTTCTCCATGCACTTTCATCCGAAATGAAGGTCCCCCTAACAATGTTTGAAAGTAACTTGATGAGGCCGATGAATTAGGATACTAAAAATTAGTCACCAACTCTTTTTTTCTAAATTAAGTTTCAATTGATTCAGACAATTTTGAGGGAGTAAGGCTTAAATATCAGCCATGAGGGAACAGTGAAAAGGCTGCTCGCTGTGTGGACCCATTCCAGGCTCCTGAATGATCAGAAAAATGCCCTAGTCTGTGGCTATAGACTTTCGAAGTAAGCGAGAATGTTCCTGAGCCACATCGAAAGCCTATGGAGCTAACACTAATGAGGAGCTGAGCTCCTCTGTTCTAGCCACTCATTAATCCTTCCTCCTTTGCTGCAGTCGTTCTTCATCCTCAGAGGCCATCTTGCTCTCCCAGCTCCCGGGTGGACACACGGTGTTCGGCTTCTTGCTGGGGAAATCCAATCACTTTTGTGTTTGACCTCCTAAACTCATCATCGGGACCATCAGCAATCATCGAAAAGGAATTGAGTGATTCTTGCTTCCGCAAAGCGATTTGAGCACTTATAGTTTCTTCGATGCGTTCGGGCAGGCCGGATTTCATGGTTCTTCTGGGAATCTCCTCACCCATCCAGTTTAGTGGTCTTGTGTATTTCTACAGTTAACAAATGTAAATTAATAGCAATAGTAATAGCATTAGCAATAGTAAATATTAAAAGCTATAGTAATATCAATATTAATACCAAGTATAATCCCAATGTCAGTTGCAATAGTAAGGCAATAACAAATTTAAATTAATAGCAATAGTAATAGCAATAGCAGTAGTAATAGTAATATTAAAAGCTATAGTTATATCAATATCAATACCAAGTATAATCCCAATATCGGTTGCAATAGTAATGACAATAAA